ATCATCAGACAACATCTCATGATCATGATTGTAGCCGATTGTTGCCAAAAACCTGGGATTTCCCGATATTATCCACTATAAAACTCGTTATGCCGCTCAAACCTCACATAATGCTCGTTTTGTCCCTTTCTAATGCTCCATAATGCTCTGATGCTCGGATAGTCGTATACTGCCGAATATAATGCCGGCATTATCCGCTGGACCCTACCTGTGGTGATGCATGTTGCCGTATAGTATTGTGAAGCTGCACGATCTGAGACTGGACGGTCGACGCAATGCCCGCTCGGACGACAGCCGCCGGGGGTGCTGTAGCCGGTCCAGCCGATGTAGCCGGTCCAGCCGCTGTAGCCGGTCCAGTCGCTGTAGCCGGTCCAGCCGCTGTAGCCGGTCCAGCTGGCGGCCTGGTGGGCGTAGTCGGTGGGCATGCCATATATGGCCGCTGTCCTTGGTAATTACCTCCCGGCCCATAGTTGCAGAATGTCATCCGTAGCTTGTCCCTGCTCGGCAATGCCGCTAGCCCTTTCCCAAAGGTGCTCTTTTAATTCGCACTTAGTGCTTTTCGCGTCCCTCAAAATATGCTGAAAAAGTGCTCTTTTTTCAGTGAAAACAGGCAAAAAGTGCTCTTTTTCAGTGAAGCATAGCCATGATACATGTTCAGATATGAACCCAAGCTGGGGAATGAATAAGCACTCTTCCACTTATGGGTCCACGAAAGGCAAAACAGGAAGTAAAGTTCAAAAAACCCACTTTTTACAGATTGTGTACAAGCTTCACCAACTTGTTGCCCCCAAAAAAGCGGCGTGCCAACTTCCAAGGCCCATCGAGCACTCGGAAACTGTGATCGCATGCATGAGCAAACAGATCTTAGCACTTTTTCAGCTAAAAAAAAGCTCAAAAGGGCGATATTCACCAAAAAACGCAATAAAGGGCGAAAGAAACGGGCTTTTCCAAAAAGGGCCAAAAAGGGCGAAAAAAGGGCGAGCACCTTTGGGAAAGGGCTAGTAGCGGCCCTCTGTAGCTGTGGCGAGGTTGAGGTGGAAGCAGTGCAACTGTGCAAGTGAAGTGTCCAACACTGCGACAGTCAGTGGCCCAGTGGGGCGAAACCTCTGACGATAGCTGATCCATGCGTTGCATGTGCTGTCGCTGTCCCTAGGCCCTTGCAAGCTTGTCTGGGGATAATTGATTAAAATATTTCGGAAATCGGATCAGGATAGATACGGCTATTGCCCACGTCCACGTTCATTTTATTTGTGCATGGTTGTGTACAGTCATGATAGATGTACACGCGACTACACGCGACCACCGTCATGATGGAAAGTACCGGTATAGTGAGTGGGTTCGATTATGACCGAGCATCGATTCATGAATCGATTCGCGCATCACCCAAAATAAATAGGGTGAATGCCCGAATCGATTCCAGCATTTCCAGGGCTCAGTCATGACATGAAAAGAGCAGCATTTAGGCGCTGCAGCAGGAACTCCTCAACAAAGTTCACTCAGACTCCTTTGCACCAATGCATTTAGCTTAGGAAACAAGCTAGCTGAGTTCCAGCACACACTGCACCAGCATAATCCCGACATAGCAGTAGTGACGGAAACAAAGTTTTCCTCTGAAACCGTTCCACCATCCGACTCCACATTCCCTGGCTACACCACCTTCCGGCTGGATCGAACAGCACGCGGTGGCGGAGTGGCGGTATGGATCAGATCTACACTCCCAGCCATGGTAATTGATGAGTTATTTTCTCCACATCACGAACTCATTTGGCTATCCATTCAATTGTCCCCTGGACAAAAGATAGTCTTGGGCGCTGCTTACAGGCCAGGTTCGACGGGGCCCAGTGACCTTACGCTCATTAACCATCTCGATGACATCCTTCCCTCTGCTCGTGCACTTGGTGCCAACCTCATACTCGCCGGTGATTTTAACGTGCATAACCGCAATTGGCTCCATAGCTCGAAGACCACACCTGCGGGGGAAGCCCTCGAAGACACATGCACAGCCCACTTTCTCACGCAGCACGTTCAGAGTCCTACTCGCGGGGATAACACACTCGACCTGGTGATGTCCACGTTCAACTCTCCAGTGACCACGCAGATAATGTCCCCTATTGGTCGATCTGACCACGCTGTAATTCTTTCGGACTTCACAGGTGTTCTTCCTACCCATGAAGCGGCGGTGCAACGAACTGTCTGGCGCTATGAAAAGGCAGACTGGAACCGCCTCCGATCCTTTTTCCGCCAGGTTGATTGGTCAACCGTCATTACTGCCAACCCAGAAACTTCGTGTGAGCACGTTACTGCCACAATCATGAAAGCCGTTTCCCAGTTCGTTCCGTCCAAGACACTGACAGTGAAGTCAACGGATCCGAAATGGTGGACACCTGAGTGTGCAGCCGCCATGAAGGAGAAGGACAAACGCTGGCGCACTTGGAGGAAGCACCCTCACGATTTTGCACTGAAACATGAGTTTACCCGTTCTGTAAACAATGCTATCGCAGTCCTCGCTAGATCTAGAGTTTCCAAAGAGAACAGCCTCAGACATAGCTTGTCGAATGGGTCCCTGAAGGAGAAGGAATGGTGGACGAAGCTAAAGTGTGCTTGTGGCGAGGGTCGGAACACTGACATTCCCCTGCTCGTTGATAGTGAAGGTTGCGAGAGGGCCACAAGCTATGAGAAAGCGGAGGCTTTCGCACGTTTCTTTTCCCACAAGTGCAGTGTGCAAGGCCGCGACCTTACCACGATGGACTTACCGGACACGGCATTCGCTGACGCACCTGCACTAACGCCAGTCCACTTTCGCCCGGATGCAGTCCACCGGCTTTTAGCTCGCCTGGATGCCTCAAAGGCGACTGGACCCGACGGTATTTCCGCTCGTGTCTTGAAGGAATGCGCCAGAGAACTTGCCAAGCCACTGTGTCAGCTCTTTGCTCTTTGCTTCCAGCACGGAGTCCAGCCACAAATGTGGAAGACTGCCAGCGTGGTTCCAATCCACAAGCGATCTTCACGATCCGCCCTAAGGAATTATCGTCCAGTTTCACTGCTGAGCATAATCTCTAAGATCATGGAGAGCGTTATCAATCGTCAGCTCATGAATCACCTTGAGCGTTACAAACTCCTAACACCCCACCAGTTCGGGTTTCGTCGCCGCCTCGGGACCTCAGATGCGCTACAGGCTCTACACCACGCCTGGATCACAGCCGTCGGCCGAGGCGGTGCAGCACGTATTCTAGCCGTGGATATTGCCGGAGCATTCGACCGTGTGTCCCATGCTGGCCTCCTCCACAAAGTCCGCCATCTTGGCATTGGCGGCCCCCTGCATACCTGGCTCTCTTCCTACCTAGGTGGACGGTCCATTCAATGCTTGGTGGACGGCCAAACCTCATCGCTGTATACCATATCAGCAGGAGTTCCCCAAGGGAGCATACTCGGCCCCACACTCTTCCTGATTTACGTGAACGACGCCTCAGAGACCCTGTCACCCGGAGCCCACCTGGAGGCGTACGCCGACGATACTACCTTGTACAGCCTGATATCCCTCGACACATCCCCAGCCGACGCAGCATTGAGCCTCCAGACTTCTGTTGATCGCTTGCATCAGTGGGGCCGCAGATGGCGCATCTCCTTCGAACCGTCGAAGTCCCAAGCCATGACCGCCACTCTCCGCAGAACCCCCATCAATTTGCCTCGCATTGTCTTCGGCGGCACTCCTGTCCTTGAGGAGAAGGCTCTCTCTTTACTTGGAGTGACCTTTGACTCGAAGCTGTCATTCAGCACTCATCTCCGGAAGGTTGCCACTCGAGCCAAACAACGCCTAGGCTTCCTGCGCCGTGCAGCGCACATTCTCTCTCCAGCCGGCCGCACCACGGTATACAAGGCATTTGTTCGACCAGTTATGGAGTATGCCCCCCTCATCTGGATAGGTGCTCCGCCCAGCTACCTGCAACGCCTGGATCATATCCAACGCTGTGCTCTGCGAATCATCGGTCCAGGTGCACTATTACCTAGCCTGGCCATCCGTCGTACTGTTGCCTCGCTTGCCTGCCTATACAAGCTGCATTACCTGCCTGGCCCTCCGCAGCTGCTCTCTGTTTTGCCACCGCGCCATTTCCCCTCATCCAGCCCCAGAACTCGCAGCGAGCATGGTAGCGTCATTGGCCATGACCACCAGCTCGAACACCAGCTGCTTGCATCTGTCCCGCTGGCATTAAAGCGCTCGTTCCCACACTGCAGTATTAGTGACTGGAACTCCCTCCCCGCCGCTCTTCTGTCCCAGCCTCCCCACAGCAAGGGAATGCAAGCATTCAAAACTAATGTTTATCGCCATCTGCGAAGCACAAACTGGCTCTGGGCAGTCGACTCGCTATGATGATGCTCTCGTCGTTCTCCTCTATCCCTATCTATGCACCACAACTGGCTCAGACAACCGACTCGCCATGATCAGCTATGATGATGCTCCTCTCAGTAACAGCCCTTGTAATTTGTTAATAGTCTCACAGTTTCTCCCGCACACTCGCTGATGTTAACCCTTCCTTTCTTTTCATTTTGCTGACTCGTACAGCTCTATCTTTTGTTTTTGGTGCGTGTTTTTGGCCGTGATGCCGAGACCTCAGGTCGGCAGAGCCATCAATGCCCCACCATCACTGCTGCGTCTCGGTGCAGCCCCTGCTCAATAGTTGTCACGTTCGTCCTAGTCTCAGTATCATTGTCTTTCTTTATTATTTTCGAGCTGGGAGTGTGAACATAGTAAAAAAAAAAAAAAAAAAAAAAAAAAAAAAAAACCGGCAGCGAATACGTGTGGGCAGCTGACCATCTGGCCCAGCAGCATATGGCCATATATATGGCCCAGCAGCAGACTTCGTCACATCGCATCCGGTATCCGCACCATGACCAGCGCTCGGTGGCGTGCTGGGGTGCGCTTGCTGGGCAGAGTAGAGCTCTAAGTCTAAGTCAAAAGAGTTGTCCAGCTCCCTAAAAAACTACATGTAAAAGCAAAGGCCGGATATCTACCCGATATCCACGCTGCCGGTACCGCAGTTTGATTCGAATGTTGTTCCCTGTCTACAGGATTAATTATGTATTTCGACACCATATCGCCTTTACCCAGAATCTGGAAGAAGTCCCTGACCTGACCTGAAGACGAGTAGATCTACTCGGAGTAGAAACTGAGACTAGGCCGATAAATAAAAGTTTTAGAACAAGGTCTGGGTCTGCATGCAGAAGTGGATTTCAAGCCAAACGATTCCTCCTGCACTTACAGCTTAGATCTACGGCAGCCACCGGCACTGGAGGCAACCTGGCTCGTTCGCGAGAAGCATGCCGCGACGTCCAGCCGTTGGATGTTTTTTTAGTTGCAGAGAGCTCTAGAGCGGAGAGGCCAAGGACGACGTGAGCGCATGATCATCATTATAGGACATACCTGCTTGGACTGAGTGGGAGCCACGGCACTGCGAGCACAAGCGTTACGGCCGATTGCACGACTACCGGATTGGTTTGTCAGGGAACTTACTTATCGTTTAGTTCAGCCGCGCGCGCCGAGGGAAGTGCCGACTCGTCGTCGTTGCGAGTACTCAGGCGGCGCGCGCGCTGTCCCACTCAGATTTGAGTCGCGGCTCTTGACTCGAGTCGAGATCGTCTGCAAAGTGCAGTGTTACCGATTGATCGCAGCGCCAGTACAGGATAAGTGACAAGTCACTGAGGAGATCGCTCGCCATCAAACCTATAATTAATACTCAGCCAATCACACTAACGGCGCGATTTCAGGTTGATGCGAATTCAAGTTTTAGTGAGAAAAAAAGAAGAATGTGCGGCTTCCCATTTGGTGTTCTCGCGTCCCTTGTGGGATTGGCTGTGCTGCTGGGTAATGCGCCGGCCCATGGAAGGCTGTTCACAACCCCAGAGAAAACGACCATGCTGGGCCTTCACAATAGTCTAAGCCGAGGAAATGTCAATCCCAAGCCATGCGAGCGCTTGCGCCCTCTGCGGTGGGATGATACGTTGGCAAGAGTGGCTAATCAGTACGCCAGAAGGTGTATCGTTGGGCACAATCCAAGAAGGACCACGGAATACAACAGGCTGAGTGGAAAAACCTACCACAGCGTGGGTGAGAATTTCTTTGTGGATCCGAGACTGGATGAAGCAAGTGTCGTAATCTGGTCACACGGTTCATGGCACAGGGAAATCTCACAGTACGACTATGCAACAAATAGGTGCAAGCAGCACACTTGTGGTCATTACACTCAGATGGTATGGAGTGCAACTACTTCCATTGGATGTGCTACTCATATCTGCAACAGGCGGGGCTCGACAAACTGGCCATTGCCGAGCAGGGATAAGCTACGGATGACATTCTGCAACTATGGGCCGGGAGGTAATTACCAAGGACAGCGGCCATATATGGCATGCCCACCGACTACGCCCACCAGGCCGCCAGCTGGACCGGCTACAGCGACTGGACCGGCTACAGCGGCTGGACCAGCTACAGGACCGGCTACAGCGGCTGGACCGGCTACATCGGCTGGACCGGCTACAGCGACTGGACCGGCTACAGCAGATGGACCGGCTACAGCGGCTGGACCGGCTACAGCGGATGGACCGCCTACCACGGCTGGACCGGCTACATCGGCTGGACCGGCTATAGCACCCCTGGCGGCTGTCGTACGAGCGGGCATTGCGTCAACCGTCCCCATTTTGTTCGCGGCCGTCTTAGGACTATTCTAGAAGAATCATTCTCTTCTTCTAATGTTGAGATTTTCTACCGCAGAACTAAACAACTCTTCAGTGATAGCAACATTTTGTAGCAATTATTAGTTTCCACTCATAGTTGCCCTCTACTTTGCAGGCCATCTGCCTGCAATTTGGCAGTGTCAAAATTTGACACTGCCAAAACTTACAATACATACATTAGTAGTATAGTACAACGTTTGCATGCTTGCATGTTTACGTTTATCACAGTACGTACACTAGTACTATAAGTACAACATATTGCATGCCTACACACCAACGTGTACATTGCAATTCGTGCCTGGTACACGGTAGATTCAATATCTACACCATAGTATAGGTTCCCATTGCTCTTGGGGCCTCTGGCGTTTTGGCGGCCCACTTGTACAATTACAGTTCGCCCGCTCTTGCATAAATTGTGTTACTTTGTCATTTGTCTATCACTCTGATGATTACTCTTTGAAGTATGAAACCGGTCAGTAAAACACACTGCAAATGACTTTTGTGAATTGAAAATGAGTGCTTTGTGTCGGAGGAGCCTACCTCCCTCAGTAAGTGTACCGTTCAGCACAATCCAAGAAGGACCACTGAATAAAACAGGCTGAGTGGAAAAAACTACCACAGCGTGGGTGAGAATTTCTTTGTAGATCCGAGACTGGATGAAGCAAGTGTCGTAATCTGGTCACACGGTTCATGGCACAGGGAAATCTCACAATACGACTATGCAACAAATGGGTGCAAGCAGCACACTTGTGGTCATTGCACCCAGATAGTGTGGAGTGCAACTACAGTGTACTTCCATTGGATGTGCTACTCATATCTGCAACAGGCGGGGCTCGACAAACTGGCCCGCGGCATTTAGCCCTTTCCCAAAGGCGCTCGCCCTTTTTGGCCCTTTTTGGAAAAGCCCGTTTCCGAGTTTCGCCCTTTATTGCGTTTTTTGGTGAATATCGTCCTTTTTGAGCTTTTTTAGCTGAAAAAGTGCTAAAATCTGTTTGCTCATGCATGCGATCACAGTTTCCGAGTGCTCGATGGGCCTTGGCACGCCGCTTTTTTGGGGGGGGGGGGGGAACAAGTTGGTGAAGATTGTGCCGGTGTACACAATTAGGCTTGGGCGGATAATGCTAGCATTATAAGTAGTATTCTAGTGTGCGATTTGCAACGAGCATTATGCTAGCACTATAACACTACATTTCCGCAAAAGTGGCATTATACTCAAATGGCCCTTACTTCTGCGAAAACCAGGCTTAGGGTGAAAATCATTTTTTTTGAGAAAAATGATGTTTTGTAAAAAGGTTGTGTCGCGTGGACGCTCGATCGAGTGCAGTGAATAGAAGTGGAACCAAAGAGAATCTCGCTTGTTTGAAGAAGTAGCAGTCATCTGGTCATGGCAGGAAGGGTTTCAGCAGTCAGGGAAGTCAAAGGACTTCCGGTAGAATACTAATCCGACTACTAGGCTCTAGTCACCATGGACATGGTCACAACGAAGAGTTTTTGAGCTGATCGAACGGATTCCATCTCCTACACTCACGGATGGCGAAATTTCTGCGCTAGCTGCTGCTTGCGGAAAATGGTGAAGAAATCGTCTTCAGTTAGAGTCGTGATGGCGATAGCGAGGAGCACCTGGACGACATCGATCCAGCCAATCGAAGTACGGAGATACTAGCTGTTTCTGGGCCTCACACAACGGGAACACGCGCAGCAGAGCTCATACGTTTGCAGCAAGTTCACCAGGAAAAAGGCTTGAAGCGCAGTGTGAAAACTGTTTTGAATTGAAGTCCTTGGCGATGAAGTGCTACTGAATGCCAGGTGAATGAGCGAGCAGAACGAGAGGCCTCCACTCGAGACTTTCCTCGCTGGACAGCTAGCTGCAAGGGATTGTATGGAGCAATAGCAGCATAAAATTAGCCTTATGATCATGATTTTCTAGCATTTTCCATGCCGTCTACGCAGAACTGCGAAACGTGCACAATACTGCCCAAACCAAGCCATTTTTCCATACTTACTACTGGTGAATTGCTGGCATTACAGAGGAACAGCAGCATTACAAGTAGCATTATGATACAGTTTTTTCTGGCATTGCCATTAGCATTATCCCGCAAAATAACTAGCATTATCCGCCCAGGCCTATACACAATGTTGTAAAAGTGGGTTTTTTTTACTTTTTTCCTGTTTTGCCTTTCGTGGACCCATAAATGGAAGAGTGCGTATTCATTTCTCAGCTTGAGTTCATATCTGAACATGTATCATGGCTATGCTTCACTGAAAAAGAGCACTTTTTGCCTGTTTTCACTGAAAAAAGAGCACTTTTTCAGCATATTTTGAGGGACGCGAAAAGAACTAAGTGCGAATTAAAAGAGCACCTTTGGGAAAGGGCTACTCGGAGCCCTTACTCTCCCCATTGTTGTGTTGTCCTGCTACTTCTCCCCCTCTTCTTACGAGTAGCTTGTGTCTTCAGTAAACAAAACTATGAAAAACTAAACTGGAGATAATGTTCAGAAGTGATAATACATGTATGAGATGATACTGATAGTGCTAATAGCCAGGTGTGAATTCGATAGACAGCACAGCATAGCAAGTAGCGACGCGAGAGGCCCCTAGGGCATGCACTCCGTCCACTCCCTCGCCACACCGCATGCACCTCACTGACTGAGGGATTCTGCAGTTTTATACTGGAAACAGCTCAGCAGCTGTATGAAGGAACTGAGTACCAACGGATGTGTCGCTTGCTGATGGTGTACGTGCTGTGGCAACGTGTCGAGGTCGGCTGGAGAGTGCAGTAGTTGTGTTATGGTGTGCAGTGTGGCAACGTGTCGAGGTCGGCTGGAGAGTGCAGTTAAGTTGTGTTATGGTGTGCGTGCTGTGGCAACGTGTCGAGGTCGGCTGGAGAGTGCAGTTGTGGCGTGGTCTTCAACCGGTGGCAGCGGAAATCCGACCCCTGGGCGGTGCCATTCACGGCCTCTATTTCGTAGTGTTACCATCCCATGCCAGGTAGGGGATCTTTGCGATGCGAGCGCACCGCTCAGGGGTCGGATTTCAGTTGTTTGTTTGTTTATTTTATTTTACTTCACCAAGTGAACAGGCATCTCTGCCTTCTCACCAGGTCCGGAGACCTAGTTCCGACAAAATGATGAAGACAGTTGCCAGCACTGTAGTTCTTTTGCTTTACAGTTAGTTGTATACAGTCGTGTACTACTAATCGTTGCGCCTAAGGCGTGCGGTTATGCTTCCCGTTTCGGTACAGAAGGGCGATGTTCACAATCTACCATTCGGATTAGCCATTCAACCAACCTTCACCGACGAGATCTTTTCGATCAAAAGGGCAGTATGAAGCATTGAAGGAACTGACCTGATCAGCGCTGACTGTAACGTGTCATGTTGCCTGCATAGGCCTAGCGCCTTGGGGGCGGGTGCAAGGACGTATCTCTGCGACTCTGGCAAATAAGGTCAGCTCACATCACGTGTTCTGTCTGGAAGACAGGGCCAGCAGGCACTGCTGGCATGGCCTCAAGTCAAGCAGCGAGGGGCCCTGTATAGGCTGTAAGACTACGGTGCCCCAGAGCGAAGACCATGAAAGCTGGCGTCGGAGCAACAGCGAAAGCGACGTGCCATCCCACAGAATATGCTACAGGCTGCAGCGCAACGGGCCATCGTCTGTCTGCAGACTGTACTCTGTAGTGTAGCCAAAGCAGGAGAGAGAAACACCAGCAGATTAAAATATAGCCCGTTTCGCAGACTAACCTAATGGCTCCGAGCATGTGTCAGACCATGGAGTGCTACCCTGCGCCCCACTCGGCCGGAGCGAGACGCAAGCTGCAGCTGATCTCGCCCACGGCATGCCCATACGCCAGCAGGGACGGGCGAAATCGTGCGCCAGGACCAGGACTAGCAGGAGGAGGACAGCGTGGAAGCGCTGATTTCGCAACAACGCAGTTGCTTTTCACTCGGGCTTTATCTTTTCTCACAATCAATAACACGATGTCGGGGAGCAGCTCCTTCTTGGAGACAGCCTGAACTGAAACCACTGTTCGTGTAGTTTCAAGTTGCCCGCTGTGGGTGTTTCAATGAACTCAGGACCGGAGTAGGTGGACGTTCCTCCCTGATCCGCCACTCCCAACCGCTGCGACTCAAGCCGCTATAATCCGAACGCCTTGGGTGGTCGGCGAATCGCGAGCCGTTCCATTTTTAAGCCGTTTTCAGTAGCTGATTGCAAATCGCTGCCGCTGGCTGTGTGAGGCGTGCCATTGAGCGTATCTGGGACGAAGAAGTAGATCTACCAGACAACAGCACATTTTTCGGACCAGCAGAGATGTATTGTGGACTGGACAGACTTGAGCTTGACACTAAACAAGGCTATAGCCTAGGGCTGAATCTCTGCATGCTCACCAGTCTTAAACTCAGAAACCAAGGCTGGAAGCCAAGAGGTGCAAACCACGCCGAAAGAAAAGCGTCAGAATCCAGAAGCTGGTTTCACTGAAATCTGTGGCGGTCAAGTTGGCCATACACGATACAGTAAAAGGTGAAAGGCACATGCATGTGCACCTCAGCTCAGCTCAGCTCAGCTCAGCTCAGGGAACAGAGTCAGTTTAAAACGGTTGAATTCAGACCGTCACGGTACCCATCTCGCGCCGCCGCGACAATGCTCAACGCTGCCCTGCTGCTGGTCTGTGCTATCACCGTCTTCTGGACGGATTGCCACCGCGGCGCACACGCTCAGCTGACCGAGGCGCAGAAGGAGTCGCTAGTGACGGCGCACGCGTACGCGCGCAGCATCGTCACACAGCCGGTGCCGTGCGGCGCGTTGAACCGCGTGCACTGGCACGACGCGCTGGCCGAGGCAGCGCAGAACTACTCGGGACGCGTGCGTCAACGCGCCCGATCGCGAGCGAACGTACGCGGCGCGCCTCTCCGGCGCCAGCTTCTGGTACGTGGGCGCGAACATGTACGCGAGCGACGACGTGACCTCGGATCCGAGCCACGCGGTGACGGCCTGGGACCGCGGCAAGCGCGCGTTTAACTACTCGCGCGGCGTGTGCGCGTACGGCGATACCGCCTGCGTGCAGTACCTGCAGCTGGTGTGGAACCAGAGCACGGCGCTCGGCTGCGGCGCGAGCGTGTGCGACGCCGGCCGAACGACGAACTACCCGTTCGACCCGCTCACCGTCCCGCGGGCACTGCTAGTGGTGTGCTATTATGGTCCGGGCAGCGGGCAGTCGCGCCTCCTCCCCTTTCAAACCTGCATGTGGCGTAACACGTTGCCACCGTCCACCATGTAAGGATCGTCAGCCGCTCGGCTCGCACTCACGGCATCAACAGCGGCACTCCTCTGGCTTGGCGCGTTACACGCAGTCGTCTCAGTGCTGGTCACAGGCAAGCTGTAGATGCTCGCCGTCACCAACATCGGGAAGTAGTTGACAGCAAGCTTGTAGTGGAACCCACGTTCGACCAGCCAGCACTAACGCAACACTTCGGATTAGGGAATGAATTATTTACAAG